AAAGTTATTGTATCAGAATAATAATTGAATATAATAGTGCACAAATTTGCTTAATAATATTCATTTTATAGCTGTTTTTTTTTTTATGGGTAACCCCGCCTGCGCTAACGGGATACGTTGGCGGAGCACCAGTGAAGGGTGATAGATGAGAATGAAAACAGGCCAGTTAGCCCATCATGATGAATTCGTCAGGAATTAACCATGATAGTTTCCAGGGAGAACCGCGAGGAGGTCGACCTGGTTGGGTATAGCAATAGCAATGGGATTCTCAGTCTCCATTAGTAACAATCCCTTTCCCCCCTTTTATAGCTGTTTAAGATCATGTTTATAAATTTGAAGAATGTTAATTAACGTAACTAATGATTTAAAACTGGAGTTATTATTCATTAACGAGGGCCCAAAAAATAGATTTTTTCCTAGAAACGAAAGTTTTATATCAGTTTTAAGAAATGGGTTACATTAAATAACATATTGTATATATATTTACAGAGCTAACAAAATTCTCTATTGAAGTGTTCTGCAATGAAAATCGTGTAAAACACATTAAAAACTGCACAATATTATCGACGAGTAACTATTAAATTCACCCTGAATTCCTAAACTTTTACCAGTTCTACGAAATCTCCAACATAAAAAAAATAGCCTCTTACTTAAAAACATCCCAAAGTTTCAGTTTAATTGGTTTACAAGATGTTGCTTGTGCAGTGCCGTATAACGGCAGTGTATGTAAACCATGAACTAATTCTAACGTATTGATTATGTATTAAAATGTTATTTTATTAAATCATTTCGAACTCGTAGAGAAATAAATGGCTATAGCTAATTTGTCGGAATAGAATATATATATTTAACAACACTGCAAAAGTCAACAAACCCACAACAACAATAAATTAACCAATGGGTTAATGTTGTTTTAAACGTTAATCATGTAAACGGACACCTGTCGTTTAACATCCAGTGTTCGTGAAATGGGATTTCCTTTTTGAATATGAAAGGTGTGTCAACATTGTCGAGCTCAGCCGTCCGCGCGCAATCGATAGGCCGGGCTCGTCTGAGGCCGCTCCGATCTCACGGAACACTGATTTTGGCTAATCTCTCCACCTCCTGAACCTTAGGCCCGCCACCGTGCACTGCGCTTTTTTGTTCTATCAAATTATTTTTAATCGGCAAGCCCTCGTGCTAACAATAACGGCTCCGTTAAAAACATTGTATTGGAAAAATATACATGTGGGTTTAAAGTCTTTGTGTTATACAAAGAAAATAACTAGTTTTCGAGCTTGTGTCTTGCTGTATTTCCTTTTTCAATAAGTGTGTACTGAATGCATCATTGATATTAATAAAAAAAATTGGGATATGTGAAGCAAATGTACAATTTTTTTTTCTAAGTTAATAAATGAAAGGGGACACAGGACGGCACTAGTTGTGTCTGTGGCGGGCGGTGACGCGCGTTGTTTAGTCGGGTCGAGTGCGACGCCGGTGATCCACATGTTCCTCTGTACGTGGTGCTACCGGGCGTTGCTCTATCTAGCAGGTAAAGTCTTAGCGGCCTGTCCTCTACGCTCTGGTATCTTAGAGGTCCCCTCCCCGCCCTCTCCTTGTCTACCTTTCATTATAGCCAACTCACTGAACCGACAACCTGCCGCAAGCGCCGATAACACCTACGATTAGTATCCCGTATGCTATTGATCACAGTATTCGCCTTTCACAATGTCGAGGTTGATGGCTGTACAGTCCTTTAGTGCCGAAATTTATTTTTGGTGTGAACACCATTTTAATAGTGACTGTGAGATACGTAGTGACAGTTTCGCTCTGTTGGACTCTGGGCGTACGACAGCCATGAGTACTAGGTATATATACTTTATATGCATGTACATCATGAAGAGATGGTATCCCCTATTGTACTACAGTAGTATATCTATTTGGCAAACCAGCTTTATTCATAATAAGGGACCCTTTGATAACATTTTCCGACGGCGTCATGAATGTTTCCCGCTCCTATCGCAATTTCTAAGCACCGGACACAAATGAGCCGGTTAGCTAGTGCGAAATATCACTTAATTGTAATAGAGAACAAACAAATTATCAAATTGTCTCACCTACCTGTGGAATATACAAATTGTACATAATTATTAGAATCATTTTAAAGGAGTGGTCTCTTGACAATAATACTGAATGTTTCTCTCAAAGAGATATAAGTAATTTCCCGCGGCATGCTTCCTTCTTAGTATGGAAATAGATCCAAAAGCTTTAAATGTACAGATAAGAATCTGTACATTTAAAGCTATTGGATATAGTAATATAAGAATATTAATTAACAGCTGGCCGCGTATTAGCCGCCGGAGCATCATTTTTTTTTTTCAAGTTTAACGAGTTTGATATTAAAAATTTCAAATTTACTCTGTAAATGATATCCTTGACTTTGTTAATTTCAATCAGCAATGTTACCACTCACCAATAAGTGGGACACCAGCTTGTTTGCCAAATCAAAATGCATAAAATTGAATATATTTTATCTTCTACCATGAAGTAAAAAGAGTGCCTTTGTCTGTGGAAAAACTTGGCTATGGGTTTTTGTAAAATTTTACTACTTTAGTTCCTGTTCTTAAATGTTTATAAAATTTCCAAGCGACACCACCTGCTTTGGACAAAGTAACATTTTGTTGGTAATATAAAACTTCAAAATATGCTCGTCCACCTTCAAACTGTTCGAAAACTTATGCCAATCTCATGCAATGTGCACATATCCATTAACGACGTTGCTAATAGAATGTTACTTTTTTAAGGCAATTTAACTGCTGTATCCCACCCTTCGGTGCGAAGTCTTTTTCAGTCAAATTTAAATTCGTCCATGACTTATCCAACAATGTGGTAATACTGCAGTATTATGTTTCGTAGCATACTACTGTACATAATATCATTATTAGTTATTATAGTAATATTAATAGGGTATTATTGCTTTATTAGGAATGTTACTAATTTCAGATATGATAATATTCCAGCCGCCTTCCCAACATTATCGGAATATCAACAATTCTATATACATTTGTCTAATTAATATGCTTAATTGACAGTGTCACAACTATATTAGAACACATTCCAACTATTTGGAATTCATTATTAACCTAGCCATCAGTATTGTTTATACTTATCGTTGGTTACATTAATATTATATATATATATATATATATATATATATATATATATATATATATATATATATATATATATATATACGCTATATTAATACCTTTATTATCATTTGGCAACAACGACTGATATGAAATGTATGCAATCATGTATTATTTGACTGTTATATTTGTTCACGATAAGTGAATGTCGTGGTTGTTCGCTTTATAATTCTATTAACAGTATGCCTGTCTGTTAACATGAAATATTTAAATGCCGCGCCGTATTTAATGAGAGATAATCAAATTGTCTCTTAGCTTATGAACAACTAACGCCGCCCCGACTTCGCATGGGTGCAATGCAGAAACAATGTGATGTTAGTGTGAAGTGATTAATAATATTACTATTGTATCCGTCTAAATAGCTTTCCAAACTCCATATAATTTGTATATATTTTTTAAATATAAAAATATAGAACGTCATGGCTGACTTCTGTAGTCCTAATAAAGAAGAACAATTCCATACAACATTATTTTGTTATATTTCAGCATTTTCGTTAATAGCTCTTAGTTGACTTGATTTCTTCCAACATATTGAATAATTACCGTCATATTTTAACAAATTAACATAAAACAATATTAGTCGTACATTATACATGTAAACATTCCTCACGAATCACTCTATCCATTGATGAAAATCGCATTAAAATCTGTAGTGTAGTTTAAAAGATCTAAGCGTACAAATGGTGGGAAGCGACTTTGTTTTATACTATGTAGAGAATACTATTGTCATTACAATGTATTTTGCGATGTCCGTGGTCTTATTTACGACAATAGTCGACTTTTATTACTTTTTATAAGGTGGCCCACCTTCAATTTCTTTACCATGCTTAGTACTATAGTCTCTTTGATCGCTGTTCAATGTGTAAAACTTTTGTATGGCTTCATCATTGATGCTTAAATATTATATTTTTTTAATAAATAACAAAACAATACCTTATACTATTATAAAAAATGTTCTTTATAATTTTTAATTCACACGAAAGAAAAAACAAGTAGGATTATGTTTTTGTAAAATTTTTCATGCGATATAGTGGTTAGATGCTCCGGTATCGCGCCATCGATCTATAGTGCGCTCTGAAATAATTTTATAGTCGTGTTATTAATATTTTTTGAAAACACCACATTTTAACTTGCTTATAAAACACGAGTTTCTACCTGCAACTTTGTCTACGAAACTGGAATGTATTGATTGGTTGAGACAAATATTAGTTTGGCGTTTACTGTCCTATATAGTGAGCGATCCGCCTTCTCTTTACATGGTTAGATAGATAGAAAGATAAATTACTATTTTATATTGTAATACGTAAATTTTCGATACCTCAAGTTACATTATTTTAATTTTCATAGGGATCTCTTTTCTAAAATAACAAATAGGTTGTATTCATCATCGTCATTTCAGCCATTATCCGTCCACTGCTGGATATAGGCCTCCCCCATAGACTGGCATAAGGAACGGTCCTGAACCACCTGCATCCACTGACTCCCTGCGATGCATTTGAGGTCGTCACTTCATCTAGTGCGGGGTCGTCCTACACTGCGTTAGACTGTATTTCTTCTTGATAATGCTTTATATAGGTGAAAGAGTTTTTAAAATCGGTTAAGTAGTTTGTAAGTTTATCTATTACGAACAAAAGTACTAAAATAAAAATCTTTCCTCTTTAAAATATTAGTACAGATATACTCGTGTATCAAAACAAATGCGAGTTTGCATAACGTTTGGTTATGCCATTAAAGTGTCAAAAGGAAGTAAACAAACCCATTTTCACATAATACTCGTATTAGTGAGAATTTAATGGACAATTTCTTTTACAGAAGCTTCGAATTCTGATCCCGGAGGAACAGCAGTCAATGTCGCCAGTCCGGGAAAGCAGCGCCGTGGATTTAGCGGGTAAGTTGGTACTAGTACGTTATATATTATTCAATAAAGCGTAAAGTGTTTCCTTTTTTATGAGGCGTCTCAGACTGTCACATAGATGTACTATTTACACTTATACCTCACGCGAATCTCAAGACATTTACTATGCTCAAGAGCTTTCACTCGAGTACTTAATATATATAAACTGTTTTCCTGGTAGATCATATGCATTTAGATGGAGTGACTCACTACAAACGCTTTTTGATAAACAACCCAACTTTTTATTCTAGTCTGCGGGAATAGGGATACTTACTAGATTGTATATTTATTACTCGATAAGTTGAAGGAATGAGAACTGTAAGGATTAAGTAGAGAAATAAAAACAATACATAATAATATTGTATTGTCTATATTTGAATGACGAGGAAGATAGAACGAAAATGATGCTCGTGTTCTCCGATTACTTTGATCGATATCTGAGAATAGTTTTGAAATATATATTGAATCATCGGCAGAATCATTGAATGTGGCCTCCATTTTGATTAATACATGTATATATATTGCATACAGTATCTGTTTACATTATGTTTATTTATATAATATGAGAAATATATTAAATATTTTTCCATGCTAATATCCATTTTGAAAAAAAAATATCTTATTTTGAGGAATTTTGAATCGAATTACTTGCAATATGAAAAATTATGTGGTTTATTTTTTATATTTTTCGCGACAGCCAAAGTTGTTTGTTGACCGATTGTTTTATAGGACGTTTTTTTAATACTCGAAGCGTCATCTAGATGTATACTGTTATCTACTCATTAATTTATTTTTTATTATACGTTTGATGTTTCTCTGTAGTCATTTATAAATATTGTAATAAATCTATTGAGCATTCTTAAGATAAAATCTAACCAAATTATTTATGGAAATTCGTTTGGCCGTTCTGGCTACAAGTCGAGTTGGACATCCGGATACATATGCACACATACATAATAGATTGCTGCATACACCCGGATAAACATTCTCCTTTTCTCGACAGTCATGTGAAAGAAATTTGTCTTGGCATCAGAGGGCGCCACCCTCGCGCAGAAAGTAGTAATGGTATTGAATTTCAAAGAGTGTCTTCAGAAATCTGTCGTTTGATGCATTGAGAGAATATTAGCCATTATTACCTGTTGGACAGGCGCCTTATTATACAACGCTAGTTCCCTTGACAACCCTTTCAATATCCTGGTGATGAAAGGGGGCTACCTATTGTATTCGTATTTAGTCATTACACAAAGGGTAAGTGTTTAAACACCTTTGAATGTTCCAATCTGCCTCTCGTCCATTACATTACCGTGCAGTAACATGGAAAGAAGCTAATTAATGTGATTTTCTTTATAAACTAAGCCAAAGTTGATGATACTAAATCACAGAATTATGTTACACTTGGTATCAGCGGGTCTACCATGAAATGAAATTCCGAAATTTCGGACTCGAATTTCGTGTTTTTGTTTATACCAAAATCGGACCAATAAATGGAGTTTAACGTTTCGTTCGTCATACATCCTATCATAAAAGTCCAAAGTATTGATATTTTAACAAATTTGTGTTTCGTTTGGCTCCGAAATTTCGGAAAACATTTCATGGTAGGCCCTCTGGTTCGAAGCATAGTGATATAGCTACCGGAGCGTGGGCAATATGCCAAAAACAGAAAGCGGCTTCAATATGTGGTCGAAGTTCACGGGTACAACTAATTCTAATTCGATATATCTATATATTCACCACCCTTATAGCATTGTGTTGAAGGCTAGCTTTTGCTCGCAATTTTGTATGCTTGGATTTTGGAAAATGTTACCATGTCAAGATGGCGTGTTAAGATAAAACATATACCTGATTTTAAGTTATTTTTTTTTTATACAACTTAGAATGGCAAACAAGCTGACGGCCGACCTGATGGAAAGTGGTAACCGTCGCCTATAGACATGAGCAGTATCATGGACATAACAGTGTATACTGTTATTACATCTAAAAGGATAGCTGAACTGTGAATACTGTATTTAATTTGGTCCGTTTTTTACGTGATGCTCGAAGAATCATACACACAAAAATTAAAAAAAATATAGTTTTAGTTTCTATTGCCATCATCTGCCTGTATTTGTCCCATATCTGTTTAAAATCATCGTAATAGTTTTTTTTTTTCACTTCTATTTGCGCTCCTCAACATTTATTCCCTTTTCAGCCATGTCGTCTTTCTCATAGTATTCCATTTGTTTTTGGGTGTCCTTGTGCAATATTGTAATCTAATAATATGCCCCTAAGAGTTATACTCTGTGTACATCATAACTGAATAACATGTAGGCTATGATGTTACAATTCAATAATGTAATATGACCCTAAATGTAGGGAATTCTGTATACATTAAATAGTTTAATTAATCAGGTAACCTGAATGGTTTATTATGTATTATCAAAATAATATAGTAAAATGGAGGTCAGCTGCCAAACCAAATGTAATTAATTTCATCATCGTCACATCAGCCTTCCTCATCATCCACTGCTGAACATAAGTCTCCCCTTGGGGGATTTTGCCAGTAGTTGCCACGTTTGTCAGGCGGATTGGCAATTGCAGTTAGGCTTTAGAGATGTTTTAAGAGGGACGCTGCTGCCCATTACTCGCCGTCCCTAAGTCGTCTCTTACGACACCCACGGTAAATGAAGGGGTGGCCTATTCTATGCCGGAACCACACGGCCACTAACTCCTTTATGTAGGACATAAAATAATTAAAGTTTAATGTAACTGTCATCACCGCAAACACATATGTTTATACAAAGAAAACTACTCTTATACAACTTTATACTTACTGTACTTGTATACTTGTTAAAAATATCTCTACTAATTCTGTTCAGTCTAACGTGCAACTACACGAAAAGGTTTTTTTCCTATAATTGGTTCGTGCATTAATAAGTTCATTGTGTTGAAATACATTTTGTTAATGCACGTACCAATTATAAGAAAAAAAAAACTAAATTATTAGAAGAGGTCCTGCTGTTTCCACATTCGATTCAAAATAATGTAATAACGTAAATGTGTATAAATAAAAAAAAAAAAATTTGTACGTGAACTGTAACTTTAGCTGCAGAGATAGATAAAATAATGTAATACTACGTTTAATAACTATATTTGTATCACATTTTAAATAAATGTTTTGTATGAGAAAATAAAATTATTTTAAACCTAAACAAAGAGTTTACGATTCACGATCTCATCATATTTAGGTAAATATTTTAATTATATTATAATAAATGATGTCATATTCTCGGCGTATTAAACTCTTGATTTATCTAGGATTAGCTTTACATCTACAAAAACAGTTCCCTTGCCAAAATAAACCGTAATCGAGTTGAAAGTAAATACCATCACTTTCATTGTAGATAATTTGGTATTAATACAGTTTTGCTTATTCTTGTTGCTCTGTATGTGCCAAAGAAAGTGACGATTCCATACATATCTGTGATCAGATCACAAAAAATGGTTTAGAGCATGGAAGAAATGTCATTTAATTATATAATAAAACAATTCAAAGAGAGAATTTGATGATACTCGTACCAATCTGGATATGTTTTACAATCATCACAACTGATTTAGATATTTTTGAATTGGCTCCCTTCAATACTTTTGAAATATTTATCTGTCTCTCTCATTGTTCCTCTTATTCTGTACTTGCTTGCACGGGATCGTCACTTAACAATGTTTCTTCCTTACCTGTTATGATTATCTAACTATGCGGTCGGGCCATTGCCATATCAGTTTGCAGACCCTTCAAACTATATCGGTTATTTACATTAATGAATCATCCATGTTACATGTTTGAAAAAGTGTCCAAAGTAAAATTTGATTTTCTACAGCGCAGGTGCGTTGATTATTTTTAATTTGCCAAATGAAAACTGCATCTCTATCCCACTCATATTTATGCCACCAAACAGCTGTGTGCTTCCGTGTTGTATTTCGGAAGGATGGGGCATATCAGTTAAATTGCAAGGTATTGCAACATATTAGTTCTCAGGAATGGCTATGTATAAAAGGTATCACGGGCATTGCAATGTATTTTGACGTATCTGTGTTTCGTTTCATGTTCATAGGCGACAATTACCACTTTCTATCAGGTAAACTATCACCTTGTTTGGCATTTCAATTTGTTTAAAAAAAGTCTTATAACATTCAATAATAGAAGAATCTTGTAGCTACGTTTTTAAAACACAATATTAAGCGATGAGCTCATGATTTATTTAAGCACTCGTAAAATCCTTAAAAAAATAACGGCGTTATCTTGAGGGAGCCATTCCGTTGTCTTCATTAGTCATCTTTTATCCTTTGCGGGCATTACGTGAATTGTAGTGATAGTGTAAGTCAGTCACCGGCGGTAGTGCGTGCGCGCAGCTATGCAGGACGACTACACGCGCAGTCGCTGCGGCTGTATACGTTTTATCAGGTCTCTACAGTCTTTCTATTAATTTATTTCACTTTTGACAGTGCAATTGCTCATTTTTATGTAAAAATAAATAAATTTACTGCATTTACGATGTATTTTGAAACGTTTTTTTTTTATATTTAATCAGTAAATATTAGATTAAGGTGTATGCATATTTGTATCATTACACATTTGGATTACAAAATGGATTTCTTTTTTGTATAGAAAGAAAAATAGGACAGTCAGGAGTGAAATAAAAAAAAGTGTTGATGTGTCTATATGTTGGCAATGGTATAGTGAAAATATAAAGTGTTGTGTCTACAACCAGTGGTTTCCAAAAAAATCAGTGACCCAATTTGGATTTAACAAAAGTTGCGGAGCCATCATTTGCTCGAATTAATTTCGAAGTTTATTGTGATATTTGAGGATTAATTTAATTTGTACTAATGAATTTTCCACCGTATCTCTGTCGGTGTTGTCATACAATTTTGAATAATGGAATCCGTTTAAGAAATATATAAAGGATTTAATTTAAATGAATTTTAAGATTATTAAAATAATAATGAAATGATATCAG